AACGAAATAGGTTGTTGTCCCCATTAATACGCGCAATGACGGGGATAAATCTTGCGAGAAGAAATTCTTCGTCCCACTAAACTATATGTGATGAAGTGACTCTTCATCGCTCTGTCCTTGCACCACGAAAATTTTCGTCCCTTTACACTACATGTGACGAATGTGCTTGGTACCCTTTAACTTAATGTGACGAAGCTTCAATTCGTCGTGCAAACACTTTTGTGCGACGATTGTTCTTCTCTTTGTTGCTCAAGACCTTTCTTTACGAGCCTTACGCAACAAAGAGGTGGCGACGAAGATTTCGTCGTATGTTATTTTAAGCAATGAAAATCTTCATTGCGCGACAGTTATTGTTTTGTCGCGATAATTGTTAACAGTAGTAGTGTTATATGATACTAGTTTGACATATTGACTTTTAAAGCTTCGTGTTTTTTATTATTCATGCTTTAGTGTTCAATATTATTGGTCAAATAGTACATGAATTATGGGGCAAGTATGCTGGGAAGAGAAATAGAGTTGGAACTTGGGATGCAAGAATTGTGGAATAGTGAAGCTAGCACTGCTAATTTTTTACACCGATAAGAGCAAATGAGGAAGTTTTTAGTTGTTAAGGGTATATTAATACTTTCAATACAACTTTTTGTTATAATTCTTATAAACTTAAAAAGGTTGTTATAATTTTATATGGGTCCAAATTTTAGTATTTTTTTTTTTTTCAAATTTCCCATTTGAAAACTCCTACAAATTCCATATGGATTTCAAGGATTTCTGTGGACTTCAGTTTTTTGACATTGATGGATTTTTATAGTGACACTTCTTTAATTACAAAATTTATAAACTATTATAGAATTAAAAATAATAAAAAGGATTTTATTACAAATAGTCCCTAAGATTGACTAACATCATTAAGATAATTTATGAAATTGAAAATCGATCAATTTAGTCCCTGAAAATAGATGTCACAAATCAATGTCGCCCTTCCATCAAAATTGTGTCAAAAATTCTATGAATAAGACTTCGCTGCTGAAATTTCAACAGGAATTCCTGCTTACACCCAATCCCAGTGGACAATGTTCAACAGCGAAGTTAATTCCAAATTCTATTATGTGCTGATGTGGCTTATAAATGGGTCCCACAAGTCTTTTTTTTTTTTTTATAACAAATTGACCCATAATATCAAGAGAGTTCTTAAAATTGAAAATCGATCAATGTAGTCTTAAAAATAAGTGTCTCAAATCAATATGGTCCTTCCTTGTAATTATGTTAAAAAAATAATTATGTGCTGATATGGCACATAAATGAGTCATACAAGTCTAATCAAATTAAAAATAAATTAGCAATAGGTTTAATAATTTAATAATTAACTTAAAAGTTGTCAACCTAGAAACCTGGTCACGCAATCACCTCTGATCCCAACCCACACTCCTCTACCTCCATCTATGGTAGTTTTCACCGTCTTTTCTCTAAAAACAAATTATCAAGACACCTTTCACCAAATTGGACTAGGATCGAGATCACCTATGGTGATGGCTCGGATTGTCAACAACTTTTGTTACACCACTATCAACATTTGGGTGATCAACAGCCTCACAACCTTTATCTTGGAGAGTTTGTTGGGCGCTCCCCCAGTGATCTTGATGACGCGGAGAACGGCGAACTCTGCCTTGAGATAATTTCACTGTGGAAAAAGTTATTTTGACAACTTTTTTAATTAATTATAATACCACATCAACACATAACAAAATTGTGATGGAATGATCATATTAATTTGGGACACCTATTTTTACGAACTACATTAATTGATTTCGATATCATGAACCATCTTAATGATGTGGGTTAATTTCAAGAAGTATTTGCGATAAAAACCCAAACAAAAATGCTTTTGAAAAGAAATTTGACGAAGGTTTCTGTGGTAACCCCTATCTCCTCACTAACGTTCTACCACACACCCCCCCCCCCCTTCTCTCCCCCCTTTTTCCCCCCAAACACCAAACCAAAGAGAGCAAATCTCTTCTTTACCTCACAACTTTCAATATTCTGCAGACCTCTTATATGTGTTATTGGTCATTGATAAATGATTTGTATTCTCTTTAAATTTTAAATTTTAATGAAGAGAAAGAGAAACCTATGGGGACTCTCCCGATGACGAGACTCGCAGTCTTACACTATGATGAGTGGGGTCGAAGTGAATCTAGAATGGTGTTCGTTGGTTTGTCTGCGTCACTGCGTTTGTGGCTGCAGTTGGTAAAGATAGGTGAAATTGATCTAAATTGGTCTCTATTTTTTTATTGGTTGTCGTTAGCTTTAAGGGCTCCCTAGATGGAAAAATGGGTTACTTTAGAACTCAAGTGAGATTTTGCATTAGAAGAAGATCAACTTCTTTGGGTGACTTTTTTTGTGATCAAAGAGCACATTCAAGAGAGAAAAGAGCAGGAAGCTCAAATATAGCAATGAGCTTTCACAAGTGAAACATGCAAAGCCATAAAAATAGAAAGCAATCAATGGATTTGAAATTCTAAGGGGTGAGGTGGGATTCTTTTTTGTCTTGGTTATATAAATTTCTTGCTCTCCAATCTCACAAAATCCACACTTTAATGAAATTCTACAAAATCTTTAATTTTATTTTAATACACCTCAATTTGGATGAAATTTTAAAATGTCTATTAAAATCTCAATTTTTTTTTATTTGAAAATGGGACTAGTTGACTTCACCACGGCAATCCACCCTTTCGGAGGACGGGAAGACTCATAGAGGCATTTGTGCCTTCCCCTGTCCACTATTGTGCAATTCACCAATGTTAAGAATCAAACCTATAACATGTCATGTGGAATGCGGCTTCAAATTCATCCCAACCACTGGGTCATCCCGTGGTGGTTATTAAAATCTCAAGTGACTACACCTAAATTTGCATTGATTCTAAAAATGTCTATTATAATCCTGGTTGGCTACACAAGAATTTTAAAATCTTTTAAATTCTCTCAAATTATAGTTTGACTACATTCCTTAAATAGTCCAGTAGCATTTTTTGTTAAACACTAAAAAAAAGTTTCAAAAAATGCTATTCATACTACTTTTTTTTAGCAAAATTTACGTATAGAGTACACTTCTAATACTTAATTTTATATTGAGACAACATTTTTTTAAACATTTCAAGAAAAGACAAAAGTTAATACATTTGAAAGATGACATCATTCCTTTTTTTTTTTTTTCTTTGGATTTTAAGTTACGAAAATACCCTTTATAGTGGTAAAGTATTTTCACACTTCTATCTCATTCATCTTTTATTCCCTTCTATTCCATAAATATTGACCTGATTTTGCCTTCTCTCCCATTTGTACTCATCTGATAGCCGATACCTACGTTTTAGCGCCAGAAAATATTTTGAACAAATTTATTTTAGAATACCAAGAAAAAAAATAAATAAATAGCTTCATTATCATTAAGAAGAAGAACGCTCAAAAAGAGTTATTGAAGCAAGTTGATAACTGGGCTATTAATGTTGAGAAACTACAAGGGAGGAAGGAACTTCCCTTCCCTTACTGTTGTTGCTGTTGAACAATTTTATTAAGTGGATAAAATTGTTTTCATGTTTTTGGATTGGGTATTAGTTGTTTTCATAGTTTTATCTCTCCTCAATATGTTTAAAAAGTAGTTGAGTTCCTTGAAATATAGTAAAAAAATTTGTCTCCATATGTAAAGCTCATTTTTTATAGAAGTTTTTATAGCATTTAACAAAAAAGGCTATCAATTGATGCTATAGAAACCTATTTTTTTAGTAGTGTGACTGCTCATGAGTTGCTTCGGCTACATGATAAGCGCGTGAACTTCAGTCATACTTTTCTGGTGAATGTTTTAGCAGCTGTTGAGCCGGAAACCGTTCACGTTGGGTTCGAGCTGACATTGCTAGGGAAAACGGATTGAGAATCTCTTACTTTGAATGACTTTTGAAGTCAGTGCCATGTTGTATTTGTATAGAAGCCTCAGTCCAATGTCCATCACGCGATTGGAAAATTAGCAAGAGTAAGAGACTCATTGAACACCTATGGGTTTTAACCAAAACTTTCTAAGTTTGTTTGCCAGTTGCCGTCGAATGTGTGTATATCACTTTACTTGCGTGCGTCTTGATGTTTTGCAGATGATATCTCATGCATTAAGCTAGAAACCCTTTGTCATAGATGTCAACCGTGTCATTGTTTTTACATGTAGTTTATGAATTTGGTTTAGTGACGCTCAGTCTCCACTTTATTGAATATTTTGAGTTCAAATCTCATAGATGGGCTTTAGATGAAAGAAACCTGAAATTCAGCATGTACCTAATGTTGATAGGAGGTTTGGAGAAATGTTTAGTTAAACAAAAACAAATCCCACAAATTGAGCAGTTGACATTCCCACAGCAAGGAAGATGTGGCGTATTATTTCTTGATTTGTTGGACCCAATAAAATGGTTTCCAATATTATTTTTCTTATTTATAACGATGATTCTTTGATTATCTTAGAAAAATCGTTCTGTGATTATCTCGAAATTAATCTCATACTTGATGAATAGAATTAATTTGTAATAAGGTATGGAAAGGCTAAAGAGATTTCAATTGATTTCCGTCTACAGTTAAATGGTACACATTCTCTTAAAACATTAAATTAGGAAATCACCCATATTTTTACCACCTTAATGCCTAGAACCCAAAATTGAAAAGCAAATCTAACTTAAAATTCTACCACATTTTTAAAGGGACAACTCCTACAAAATCTTTATCAAAGGCACAGTTCAAGTATCTTCAGTCCAAGCTTTCTCTAGTTCCCCTCCGATTAGCTTGAGGGGGTGTAAAGGGACAACTCATAGCCAACCGTATGTACAGCCATATTTCAGTTTGTAACTAATCTATGTGTTAGAGATTTAATCAAGTACAATTAGTCACTAAGCTTTATTAGAGAAATGTATAAATACAGAGTTAGCATTCCTTACACATTAAGAAACAAATTATACAAGGCTTCCTTCTTTACAATTTTCATCGTACCACTTGCTTTAATTGCTTTTTAGGAGATAATATTGAATGGTATAATTACTACTTGCTTAATTCCTAGTCGTCGGGTCGTGAACAAGGCTTTTTAGTTCTTGAGTTGTAGTAGTTGCTGGATCATCGACCTTTGTAGGTAGAATCACTGGTAAGCTACTCATCCTTAGACTTTGATTATCCTCTTTAACTATGAACATTTTGCATCTGTGATTTTATTCTCTCTAATCATCTGCTTAAATTTCCAGTTTCTCAATAATCTGTGTACTTTGAAGCCATAAGCTAATACTTTTGGTAGATCGAGTTTTTGTCTTTTTGTTCTTAGCCATAAGTGGTCTTGATCTTATAATTTTGATGTATTTCTATGTTTTTATCGCATTAGGACAGATCACATGTCGATTTTTTGTGATCTGTTACGATGTCTTCTTTGCTATGAAGATGAGCATGATAATGCTTATCATTCTCTCAGTCAATTTCCTGCGAAAACCGCTTCCAACAAGCGTGATTACTATTATGAAACTTCCCACAGAGACACTTTGCAACCCTTTATATCTTTTACACCAGCTGCATCACCCCTAAAACCGCCATCAACCCAATATAATCATGTCCTATCTCCCTTTAGTTCATCTTCATCGTCCCCTAACCCCAAGCCTCCGTCGTCTTTGTCCAAACCACCACAAGTTTCTTCAATCAATGCATCTTCATTATCCCCTAAATCACGACAGTCTTTTTCCTTTGATTCGTATTCAACATCCCTTAGAACCCCAACATATTCAACCAAGCTGCCCCAATCCACTTTTGTTAATTCATCTGAATCACCCCTAAAACCCCCAACATCTTCATTCAAACCGTCGCAATCTTTCTCTAGTTCTTCAGCTAGCCCTCCTATACTTTTGTCGTCGTCATCTACATTTCATACTAAAACATCTAATAATGTCTCGTCCTCTAAGCCACCTCAGGCTTCATCTGGACCAAATTCACCATCCCCAAAGCCTCCAACATCTTCTCCCAAACCATCTTCATCTTCCTCTACACCAACAGCTTCTTCCAAACCATCTTCCTCTTCCTCATTTACTTCATCGTCCCCTAACCCTCCAGTGTCTTCGTTTAAACCTCAGAAATCTTCTTCTCTCAATGCATCATCTAAGTTTTCTCCTAAACTATCTACATCCTCCTCTAACCCACCTCAGGCATCTGCTTCGAAACCATGTCCATCTTCCTCTACTGGACCTCCCGTATCTTCCACAAAGCTCCGTCCAATGTTTAAGCCAGTTTTATCCCACGCCTCTTCAGATGTGTTAGATCAGGTGGGAAAGAAAAGTTATGTAAGGCTTGAGAAGGATTCATTACCTATATTCGCAATTCCTGACAATATGAAAGATTTGATCAAGAATGACATTGCGCCGAAAGTTCTAAACAAGCCCCCTGTCTCCCGCTACTTATAAGGATTATTTCGCTGCTCTCTTATATGCTGAAGATTTCTACTATGAGGTACGCATGAATATTTGCCCTTTCGTAATGCCTTTTTCCTCTTGTTACTTACAAAAACTATGACCGATATCTAACCTATTACTTAAGAAAATTTTGAAAGATACGAGGAATTCTATCTGCTCATGAAGCTTCGTTAAGTTGTGTTCGTAGTACTCTACTGCTGGCATTGGTTGGTGGTGTGAATTACAGATTGAATCATGCTTTTGTTTGAAACAGAAATGGACTCATTTCGATTTGGAGAATGTCACTGTAGTGTTGCAGAGAGCAGCAGTTTATAAAAAACCAGACACGGAAGAGAAATCCTACAGGGAAGAGAAAACCTTTGTAGCATTTGATATGGCTTCTTTTCCTGAGAATCACCCATTCCTTTTGTCGAGAGACTTGGTCCATTTACGACCATCGGGGACAAATGCTGATCCATTTCAGGTAAACTACGAGCACCGATCTATCAACATGCATTGGATTCTAAATGTGTATCTCGTTTCCTTTAATTATCCATCGAAATGATCTTACCTGTTATACAGGGCTTTATATATCGTGTCGTCAAGAGCAGTGTTGTTTTAGTAGAATTTGAAGACGACTTTTATGTCCAACATTATTCGACCCGAAAATATGATGTCAGCTTCTCATTCAATAGAGTCTGTTTGAAAAGAGCTCATCAAGCTGTACAAAATGCATCGGATGCTTTGTTTAGGAACTTCATCTTTCCTGAGTCTGTTTCGCGTACAAACATTCCCGCTGCACCAGCGCTGATGTGCCCTGGTCATAAACTTGATGCCAATCAATTATCTGCAGTTCGTCATATTTTAAGCATTCGTGGCTCACCACCTTACCTATTGGTTGGCCAGCTTTGTGTTAAAAAGAGCGGTTCACCACCTTACCCATTGCTTGGCCAGCTCAGGGATGAAAAGACCGATTTTAGGCTATCGAGAACTGGGGTGGTGGTTAGTGAAGCAGTGCACCAGTTATGTCAAACTTCACACGGAAATAGGATCCTTGTATGTGCTCCTAGCAACCTCCGTTGTGATGAGCTTGTGAGAAGCTTGTTGAAATGGATTCCTAAGTCGGACATGTTTCGAGTGAATGCTGCATTCCGCGAGAAAGAGGAGGTACCCGATGACATCCTCCCGTCATGCCTTTACAAAGAGACTTACTTCTCTTGTCCTCCGATGGAGGAACTTTGCGAATTCAGAGTGATCTTCTCCACTTTCATGAGTAGCTTTCGGCTGCATGAAAAGGCCTAACTGCTGGACATTTTAGTCATATTTTTCTGGTGGATGCTTCGTCTTCTATTGAGCCGGAAACATTGGTGGCCTTGACTAGTTTCGCTGACAAAAATACTAGTGTTATAGTTACCGGTGAAGCAGAAAACCGATCGCATTGGGTTCGAGCTGACATGGCTAGGAAAAAGGGACTGAAGATTTCCCTGTTTGAAAGACTTTCCAAGTCAGTGCCATATTGTGTAGAAGCCTCAGTTCAATGTTCATCACACAATTGGAGCATTATCAAGAGTAAGACAGACTCACTGAACACCTGCAGGCAACTCTCTGAGTTTGTTCGTCGGTTACCATCGAATACGTACTCGTATGTTATGCTATTCGAATGCGTGTGTGTGTGTGTGTGTTATCGTACTTACGCTCATCTGGATGTTCTGCGGATGATTGCTCAGTACGTGTATTCTATATTATTCAAGTGTGTATGTATATATTAGCGTACTTGCGCTCATTTAGATGTTCTGCGGATGATTTCTTACGCAGTAAGAAGCTTAAAACCATTTTCTTATATGTCCTCGGTTTCTGAGTGTGGTCTATGAGATAGGAAAAGTCGATGGTACTCCAAAGTATCCGATACACCACCAGATATTTTAACCCCTCCCCAGATAATCCAAAGATAGAACAAAAACCATCAACCCCATGCTGTAGGAGACGAATGCTTCAATCATGCTCGCGTGGTCGACCCAGCTTCATCTGAGATGCTTTTACTTATCGTTTTGAAAGGCAACCCAGCTTGAGAAAACTGATTCAGTTTCGAGTTTAATGGTGGGAATGCAGCAGAAATGTAAGTGGCTGTGAAAGCAGACAAGTCTAATGAATAGCAAAGCAGTTGTAGGATTCCATCAGTCGGAGAAGGAGGCCAGAGTGGATTAAATATTTTCACCATAAAAATTCAAATTCTGGAAAGCCCCTTCCAGTTACAACTTACAACAGCAAAACCCCCCGCTAAAACCCTAATTCTTCTGCTCTTCTTCTTCATGCTCTCTCCTCACTCCTCAGTCTCCTCCTCCTCCAACAAACCCCCCCAAATCCCAAATCCCAAATCCTACAAACAATTTGAACCCCTAAGAAAAACCCTAATTTGAATTGCACTGATACATTGCTTAAAATTCACAGATTTGCACAAACCCTTATTCTTCTTCTTGTTCCAGGCTCCAGCCATCCAAAGCCGGTTAAATTCTAACCTTAAAAATCCCACTACAAAGAAATTTCTTAAAATTAAACAACTCCAACAACAACCCAAAAATAGCAAAACAGAGACATACACATATTTATATATACCAACAAAACACACCACCACCACCCACCGCCAACCGACCCAACTCCAACCGAATTCCATTTTTTTCAGCGCCGGTCGTCTTCTCTCTGACCCGAATTGCCGTGCCCACCAGACAATGAAGCCAACAAGTTGAGATGTCCTGGAAGGTAATTTCCTACTCTGGCCGCCGACGCCTCGCCCATCGGCTGCTGCTGCAAGAACAGCGAATGCTGCTGCTGCTGCTGCTGGGACACCGCTGACTGGTCCATCAGCTCCGGGGGCGGCGTCGCGGCGAAGCTCCATACCTGCCCGAAGTGCGGGGCCCAGAACCCGCCGGGTCCCCCTGCGGTGGGGCCCAGCATGGAGGCCATGGAGTGCCCGACCACCGACACGGCTCCGTCGTTGTTGGCGTGGTGGTCGGAGGGGTTCTTGGTGGCGGAGGCGTCGTGGTTGTGGTTGGTGTCGTGGTCGTCGAGGGGACCCCGGACGCGCTTGCCGAGGATGAAGGGGGTGGGGCCCAGGAGTTGGGGCTTGTGGTCGGAGGAGGGGGCGGAGGAGGAGGTGTTGCCGCCGCGGAGGGAGACGGAGACAGTAGAGAAGGAGGCGGGAGTGGTTCCGGTGCCGGTGGCAGCGATGATAGAGGGCTCGGCCTGGCGGAGGAGCCACTCGATGGTCTGGCCGTCGGACTTGTGGCCGAGCTCCCGTGTGAGCTGGAAGACACGTGCGGCGCAGATGATAGGCATGCGGATGCGGCGGCCTCGTCCATCGACCTTGCTGTGTCGGTCCTTAGAAGGGGGCTTCTTGACGGCTAAGACGCCGTTACTTGACGGCCTTTGCGAGGTCTGCTCGACCATAGCTCCTCCGCCGCCGCCGCCGTTAGTGAGCTCGTTATTAGGGTCCTCGGAATTTGACATGGGAAGGAATTGTAGGAGCTGTTAAACTTGTAGAGAAAGAGAGAGAGGGTTGAGTGGTGGTGGTTTGGGGGAGAGGAGGGAGGTGGGCTGGGCTGAGGGAAACACAGCTCACTCTAATGATTGAGCTTCCAGACAGGGGCTGGTGGAGACAGAGGAAGCCACATGGGGTGGTGGCCCCCACTTATATACAAACACTCTTCCCCTTCACAGCTCTTCCCTCACTGTGGGAAACACGCGCAACCCCCAATCCCAAAATTAATAAATTAAAATTTCAAATAACTATATTTTTTGAAACAAGTTAAAATTTCATTATTACCACCTTCATGTTGTATGCGAGTTTTCGCGCCTTTGTCCACCTTGCTCAAACTTTCCTTCAAACAATGGTCATGTGGCAAGTATAAACGACATTTTCAAGTTATATGCGATGCCGAGAAAGCCCTTGAAAAATGACTCTTGTACTTGTCTCGTAACCTTTTCATAATAATGAAAAAAACAATTTAAGATTACGATTTAATAGTATTTCTCTTTATTTATAAGTAAGATGTTTTATGTTTGATTATTGTCAAAGACAAGTTTGAACTATATTATTAATAGTATTTCTCTTAGGGTATATAATATTGTCAGTTCAAAAAAAAAAAAAAAAAGGAATGGAAGTGTTTCATTATCAAACATGTAGTTTCATGTGGTATTTAGTATTACTATTTAGTGATATCCCTCTTCACTTGTAAGTGAAATGTCAGGTTTGATTCTCATGTCAGGCCTGACATTTGTTGGCTGGGCAGTCCAACAGGCTTTGTGTAGCCCACTAATTGCCTTTTTCATTTTGGGTCGCTTGAGCCACATTTGATGGGTTTTTAGTAATTATCTTGCCCTTGCCATCCAAGTATGGGTGAACTTGCTTATGCAACATCTCTAAAAAAGACGTCAAATACGCCAACTAAGATTAAAAGACATAAACGTTTACTCCAAAAGAAATCCCACAATGGATGTGGTAACTGAGTTATTTGATTTCTTACTTTCTAGCAGTCTTTTGTATAGCAAACAAGAGTCAATTTTGTTATTTATTGTGTGTGGTTCCATAATTCACCAATAAGATACAACCTTAAACGATTTTTTTTTTCTTAGAAACTTTGGCTATAGGGCCCAATATATAATATAATAAAATAATAATTCAACATTCCCTTGAGGGAAAAATATTTTGACATGAATTTCAAATGACCATACAAGCCTTCAAATAAAATTTTTGAGAATTCATATTAGACATCTCCATTGGAGATGCTCTTAGTACTCTGATTTTGTGATATTTTTCATTATGATATATAGGAAGGGAGATCATTTTCATACCTTACTCTTTTTATTTTTGGTCATCGGATTAAATAAGTCAAACGTAAAAACAGTCAAAATTAAACATGGGGTGTGTGAAAGGGTAAAAAGGTATGTGTTTATCAAATATCTATAGGAATCATGCACATTGAGTCAGTGTTATATAACACGCTTGCTACAATTGTGTGAGTTTGATAGAAATGTGTTTAATCTATTCATTGTGGAACCCATCTACTTTATACTGTCACATCCCAGCCCGGCGAGGGGGGGGACCACTTCCCTGGCCCACTCCGCCACCATAACACGATATTGTCCGCTTTGGGCCCCGACCATGCCCTCACGGTTTTGTTTCTGGGAACTTACACGAGAACTTCCCGATGGGTCACCCATCCTAGGAGTGCCCTCGTGCGCTACTCGCTTAACTTCGGAGTTCCTATGGAACCCGAAGCCAGGGAGCTCCCAAAAAGCCTTGTGCTAGGTAGGGATGGGAATATACATTTAAGGATCACTCCCCTGGGCGATGTGGGATGTCACAATCCACCCCCCTTAGGGGCCCGACATCCTCGTCGGCACACACGGGACCAGGGTTAGGCTCTGATACCAAATTGTCACATCCCGCCCTAGGGGAGGATCACTTCCCGGGCCCGCTCTATCACCGTAGCACGATATTGTCCACTTTGGGCTTACCATTCCAAATGTCAAATCAATGCCATGAAATCTATCAGCCAGAGTCACCTAACGTGACATGTACGGCTGAATCTAGAGCTCAAATCTTCAATTCATTGATTATACCTGCACACGAGTTGGAACCACCTAAAGTGATCTGCACGACAGAACTATGCACCTAACTTAGATCCAAGATAAGCGTGTGGTGCGAGAGGTGAACATCATGTGACGGCCAACATGCCCTAATCTCGGTTGGGATGTGTTAGTTTGGAATGGTAAGCCCAAAGCGGACAATATCGTGCTATGGTGGTGGAGCGGGCCCAGGAAGTGGTCCCCCCCCAGGCGGGGATGTGACAATTTGGTATCAGAGCCTAACCCTGGTCGCGAGTGTGCCGACGAGGATGTCGGGCCCCTAAGGGGGGTGGACTGTGACATCCCACATCGCCCATGTGAGTGATCCTTAAATGTATATTCCCATCCCTACCTAGCACGAGGCCTTTTGGGAGCTCACTGGCTTCGGGTTCCATAGAAACTCCGAAGTTAAGTGAGAAGGGGGCTAGAGCAATCCCATGATGGGTGACCCACTGGGAAATTGCTCGTGAGTTCCCAAAAACAAAACAGTGAGGGAACCATGAGGGAATGGTAAGCCCAAAGTGGACTATATCGTGCTACGGTGGTGGAGCGGGCCCAGGAAGTGGTCCCCCCCAGGCCAGGATGTGACATCTACTGTACTATTGCTTGTTTTAATTATTTTCTCCTTTAAAAACTTGGTTGAGAATTAGAATCATTCTCATAGAACTCAAATTTTTTTGTAAGAGTTTGATTCCTGTAAAATTGGAATCAAACTCAATTTTTCGATCTACTGTGAAAGGCCTAGTGACTAATTTTATGTTAGATTATGTAAATGATGATGTTTGAAACTCTTATTAATTTGTGAGTTGATACATGGTTTTTATGAGTCAAAGCTGGACTTCAACATCATGAGTTTGGTATAAAAAAACATAGACAAAAATAAAAATTTGTGTAAATTATTGGATTGACTATAATACAATCATGTATTTAACATGATCACCATCTTACAATCAGATATAATTTATGTAAATATATATAATTAGAAGACCAAATATGACCGTTAAAATAGTAACTAGGAGTAAGTACTTAAAACCTCTCAACCTTTGGTGTCATTCCAAATTAGTCTCAACATTTTTAAACGTTCCAAACAAGTACCCAACCTATTGAAATGTCACATCCATTAAGCCTGAATTAAATTTTGTTGAATTAACTAGGGCATACTTTGTCTCTATTATGAATAAAAGGTCATAGAAGCATGACTTCCACCAAGTAAAGGTAACCACTACCCCTTCAGGCCATCACCTCCAAACACAATGCACAACCACAAACTCCACCCTACAATTGAAGCCGCCAACACCTAGAACAAGTTCATGGAGGTTGCTGAAATGGTATTGACTGTCATGATGCGGCCACCACCATCTTCACGGCCCACAAAGAAGAATTGGAAGCTTTACTAGCCAAAAATCTGCAAATGAGGAAATCACATGAGCAGATATAAACTCCTTGAAACCATATCCAAATTTTTAACCTCTTCTTGTTAGGAGATTTTCCGATCTTCATTTTTTGTTTTTGATTTTATTTGTAAATTTGTTTTTTTTTTTTTTTTTCATCTTCATGTTTTTCTAAAGCTATTTTTATTATCATCGTAGTATCTAAGTAAGCAAATAAGTGTGACCCATTGTTACTACATGTACATGTTACGAAAAAATTAACGGGGACCTAGTGGATGTGATATTTTCAAACAAGACTAAAGAAAATGACACAAGGCATGCTTTTTTTTTTTTTTTAGTACATCAATATTTTTACACAAATTTGGTATTGAATTCACCATCCACGAGATTTGAATCTAAGACCTCTCACTTTCAAGTAAAAATAAATACCACCAGACCATAGTACTAAGTGGTAAGACAGGTTAAATATTTAACAAAATTATGGCATTTTCCATTAAAAGATAATCCTTGCATCAAAACTCAAGGGATATATCCTCCTATATATGTGTGTGTAGCTTAATGACACCTTAGGGAGATGGCTACAACGTATGCTGGCCGATAAGATACAAACGTTGCATCGCCTCCTTCAATAAATCAAGGGAAATATGGCCCACCCATACATATATATTCAAACCCTCCCCTTTTTCTTTTCTTTTCCTTTTAAATTACTTTCCAACCTCTACATTTTTTATTTTCGACCGGATGCCAATTCCTAAATTTAATTTGTAAGAAATTATCTGTCTCCTTAAAAAAGAGCTCACATTCCACACACAACAAACCAAAAAAATCTAGATCCCAAACCAAAAAGGTTTCAAATTGAAAATTTCAAAAGTTTCTGGATGCCATATCGAATCAATCCCGAACCATTTGGTCCAAGATTTTATTTGCTTATTCAATGGTCCGAGAATCCTGAACCGAATCGAAACTATATATTATTATATATTATTTTTTTCATTATATTTAGAATTAATTGCAACCGTTGGATTGTTTCAAAACGATCTGGGCCATCCACTCTTTGACAGGGTTCTCCAGCCCTACGTCACTCTCTCATTTCATTTTGAAGCTCAGCCACCCACCCATCTCTCTATCTCAAATTCGAACTGAACCTCAGCTCAACTCCGGCCCACCACTACCCCACCACCACGCCATAACGTCTTGACTCTCCGGCCTCCCTCCACCATACACAACCACCCCCTCTCTCGGCCATTCTCTCTCTTAGACACTCAGAGTATGAGAGTCTGAGATTGTCTCTCGAACCTCCATCCAGTGCAAAGATTTTGTAGCCAAATTAGGTACAATTTTGGAATTAATTCAGATTTCGAATTAATTTCTAGGGTTAGAGGTTGTGAAATTCATTGATATTTAGAGGTTGAGAAATTCATTCATATTTAGAGGCTGTGAAATTTACTGATATGGGTAACTGATTTGAGTATGCAATATATAGTATTAGTTCGAAAATCGATGCATCAAGGTTTAAAATTTTGTGTCTTTCAATGCTAGTTGTTTGCCGTGGATCCTTGTTTTAGACTTGCAATGGAATGACTGCCCTTATTGGTTTGATGAGAGTACGCGAACACATATTCATGTT